GGCAATGCCCCTAGCAAGGACATCCGCGAAGTCACTCCACACGGACCAAATATGGAAGGAGGTACTATGAGCTCCTTCCAGGCCTCCGACGACCTCGCTGGCGGAAAGCGCAAGGGCAACCGCGGCACCGGGCGTCTTAAGAAGAGCAAGGAGCAAAAGCAGGCTGAGAAGGACGCTGCCGCCGCCGGCCAGGCTGCTATCGACCGCGGAGACGATCTCCCCATGATCGCGCCGCGCGAGGAGGCACGCCTTGACTCCCTACGCGGCCGCAGCTACACAGAGGATTTGGGCCCCGTAGTCCTGACTTCCTACGACTCCTCTGTATACCGAAACCTGTACCAGCAGATTGTCAAGGATCTCGCCCGCAAGGATGTTCCCAAAGTCGTCCGCATCAAGGAGAACTCGCTCTCGACAAAGCAGTCCAATCTTCGCAAGACCGCCCAACTGGCTGCCAAGGAGGCCCGTCGATGGCAGATGCGCACCAACAAGAACCAGAAGGACACACAAGCTAGGGCCAAGCGTGGTATGCGTGAGATGCTTGCATTCTGGAAGAGGAACGAACGCGACGAGCGCGAGTCCCGAAAGAACGCTGAGCGTCAGGAGTTGGAGAACGCGAAGAAGGCTGAAGCTGATCGGGAAGCAAACCGACAGAAGCGGAAGCTCAACTTCCTTATCTCCCAGACTGAGCTCTACTCGCATTTCATCGGCAAGAAGGCTAGGACAGATGAGATTGAGCGTTCCACCGACGACGCCGACGCTGCCGCAGCGGACCCTCAGGCAGCAGCTAAGCCCAGTATCGACGTTGGGGAGATGTCGGCGGAAGGAGGCGCCAAGGTCACCAACTTCGAGGATCTTGACTTCGACAACGAGGACGAAAGTGCGCTCAACGCGGCCGCCATGGCGAACGCCCAGCATGCTATCCAGCAGGCTCAAGACCGTGCCCGTGCCTTCAACAAATCTGGTGATGACGAAGAGGATGGCGAGATGAACTTCCAAAACCCCTCTGGTCTGCAGAACAAAGAAGACTGGATTCCTCAACCTGGCCTTCTCAACTGTACGCTCAAGGAGTACCAACTGAAGGGTCTCAACTGGTTGGTCAACTTGTACGAGCAGGGTATCAACGGTATTCTTGCTGACGAGATGGGTCTCGGTAAAACGGTCCAATCGATATCGGTCATGGCTTACCTGGCCGAGAGGTACAACATCTGGGGACCTTTCCTTGTCATTGCGCCCGCATCAACACTGCACAACTGGCAACAGGAAATCACCAGGTTCGTCCCGGATCTTAACGTCATTCCATACTGGGGTACGGCCAAGGACCGAAAGATCCTCCGTAAGCTCTGGGATAGGAAGCACGTTACGTACACCCGCGATTCGCCCTTCCACGTTGTGGTCTCTTCGTACCAACTGGTCGTTCAGGATGCCCAATACTTCCAGAAGATGCGTTGGCAGTACATGATTCTCGATGAAGCGCAAGCCATCAAGTCGTCTCAGAGTTCTCGATGGAAGAGTCTTCTCGGCTTCCACTCTCGTAACCGGCTGCTCCTCACGGGTACACCCATCCAGAACAACATGCAGGAACTTTGGGCTCTGCTCCATTTCATCATGCCTAGCTTGTTCGATTCGCACGACGAGTTCAGCGAGTGGTTTTCCAAGGACATTGAGAGTCACGCACAGAGTAACACGAAGCTCAACGAAGACCAACTGCGACGACTACATATGATTTTGAAGCCGTTCATGTTGCGTCGTGTGAAGAAGCATGTCCAGAAGGAGCTTGGAGACAAGATCGAGCTGGACGTCTATTGCGACTTGACATACCGACAACGGGCTTACTACGCCAACCTCCGAGCGAAGATCAACATTATGGATTTGGTCGAAAAGGCTGTTGGTGACGAGCAGGACAGCGCAACCCTTATGAACTTGGTTATGCAGTTCAGGAAGGTTTGCAACCACCCTGATCTATTCGAGCGAGCCGACACTTGGTCGCCATTCTCTTTCGCCTCCTTCGCTGAGACCGCCTCATTCCTACGCGAAGGTCAGAATGTCAGGGTCGGATACTCTACACGCAACTTGATCGAGTATCCTCTACCAAGACTCGTGGGTCGTGAGGGTGGTCGACTGGAGCTTGCTGGTCCGGACAACCAGAAGGCTGGCTTCAAGGGACGCTATCTCGACAACCTGATGAATGTGTGGAGTCCAGACAACATTGCGCAGTCGGCCAGAGAGGCTGGAGCATTCTCATGGCTCCGCTTCTCTGATCTGTCAGCCACCGAGGCCTCCCGAATTGCCAAGAGCGGTCTGTTCCAGCGAGCTCTCGCTGCAGAGCAAAAGCCAAATAAGGTTGGCCGGTTCAATGTGTTCTACGACAACGACAACGGCGAGTGGGAGCCGAAGCACTCCATGTTTAACATTGTTGATCGCCAGGACCGTGCACCTTTGGCTGAGATCACTGCCGATGGACACATGCGCAACCTGTTCAATGTTGCCCGAACAGCTTTCGAAAAGACAGGCCTGAACGTGATCGAACCCTGTGCAAAGCCAAAAGCATCTGCGCCTCCAGTCGAGCTCTACTGCGCTAGTCAGGGTGTTATTGCAGAGACACAGAACCTCTTCTTCAACGCTCCGATCCGTTCCGCGCTCTATGGTGTATCAGAGGCTACTGAGCAAGCTCTTCTAGAAGCCAAGAAGGAGTCGACTGCTTTGACTGTCAGCAACAGGCTCCCGCCGCCCACCAACGAGCGCACACGATTCACTCACATTGAGGCACCGTCAATGTCGCGCTTCGTTACTGATTCCGGCAAGCTGGCTCAGTTGGATGCACTCCTGAAGGAACTGAAGGCAAACGATCATCGCGTGTTGCTGTACTTCCAGATGACCAGGATGATGGACCTGATGGAAGAATACCTCACTTACAGGAACTACAAGTACTGTCGTCTTGATGGTTCGACCAAACTCGAAGATCGTCGTGATACAGTCGCCGACTTCCAGAGCGACCGGTCCATCTTCGTCTTCCTCCTGTCAACTCGTGCAGGTGGTCTCGGTATCAACCTTACATCCGCTGACACGGTCATCTTCTACGACTCGGATTGGAATCCCACCATCGATTCGCAAGCTATGGACCGTGCCCATCGTCTCGGACAAACACGACAGGTCACTGTTTACAGACTCATCACGCGCGGTACCATCGAAGAACGTATCCGCAAGCGTGCGCTTCAGAAGGAAGAAGTGCAGCGTGTCGTCATTTCCGGAGGTGGCGGCGCTGGAGTCGACTTCAACACCCGCTCCAGGGAGAACAGGACCAAAGACATGGCTATGTGGCTTGTCGATGATGACCAGGCCGCGGAGATCGAGAAGAAGGAGGCGGAGCTGGCGGAGCAAGAGAAGAATGCTCCACCAGGCAAGAAGCGTGGCAAGAAGAAGCAACGTGCGGAGGCCAACCTCGACGACATGTACCACGAGGGTGAGTGGATCGCTTCATGCTGAATAATGTTTGTACTGACTATTCCCAGGCGAAGGACACTTTGACGAGAGCGCAAAGGCAAGTGGTGCAGCCACACCTATCCCACCTACTGAAGCCCCGGCCGGCGGCAAGCGCAAGAAGGGCGGACTGAGCAAGAAGGCAAAGACAGCCAAGCAGCGTCTTGCTGTGGCTGATGGAGAGGTATAATTTTCTGTAACACCACGACGACATAACACATTACATGTCTATAATTCGATGCGGATGCGGTAGTCAATGGAGCTGCCGATGGGATACTGATCATGTTGATTTTCTTTGTACGGTGTGGGTTCTTGCGAGTGTACATTATCCGTCTTTCTCTATGCGCTAGGGTCGATCACTTGAAGGCTGTTAATTACGCCTTCTGCATAGAACTAGGAGTTAAAAATTCAAGAGAACACGTTACTTCCATGTCGCACAGGATTGGTGGACTGTGTCATGATCGTACCTTCCTTATCTGAATTGAGTCTATGAGAAGACCAAACTGACATAAGATTCGGCGCTCGGTGCAACTAAATCTTGGAGTCCGCGACGAAATCTCCGCTGGCAACCGTACAAGCATACCCCCAAAACCTTCACAATGCCAACAAGTTGCAGAGTTGCGACTATGCATCAGGACGCGCAAACATGCAGATTACCGGTACGGGTAGTCGTAGGTGGCACCACCCAGCGGATCCGGAAGGGACACCAAATGCTGCGTCCGCCGTGTTAGGGCACCAAGATTCGTAATCGGAGCAACACAGGTGCTACGAGGGAGATATTCTGCCCGAGATGGGCGGAGCGGAGCCGGATGTGTCGGCACTCCAGAAGCAACGCCCAAACGACCAATGTGTCTTGGGAAGTGGGTAAGGGAGAGTGCCAAGCTGATCACCACTGTATATCACACTGCGAGTTCGAGGAGATTGAAGCTCTTCACGATGCTGCAAGCCCGTATAGACAGTGGACGGAACCAAAAGCAGTAGCGCTACCGCATCGAGGCCTAAAATTAACCTCGTAGATTTGGCTGGACAGCGTGGCGCTAAGGTGGGATTGATTGGCCGTGGAGATGAGGCTTGTGGCTTACGGGCACGTGCCTGAACAACGAACCCTGCATCGTCTTCGCCCCCTTCAGCAGTCGCCTTGGCGTCTGAGGATCCCTTTCGGATAGCATCTTACTTGGGCCTTTTGTCGTGTACCCCCTTGGCCCTCCCCGCCTCGCCTTGTCTCTTTTCTCCGGCAGCCCTCCCCGAACCGCCTCATCCTCTTCTGCCTCTTTGTTGTTGTCTCTGGTCGCTGCAACTGCATCGTCCGCGTCTGAAGCCACACCGGACGATCTGCTGCACCGCCGCAACCCTCCCCGGCCCACCCGCTACCGTGCGACAACCAAGTCAGCCCGCGCCTGCCTCGTCCTACGCCTTCCCTCGCATTGCCAGCTCGCGCCTTCCCTCTGGCACTGGCATGAAGGCATAGCCCACACGAGCCCTCCACCGTCGCTCGCTACATTCTCAACTCAATATCACATACCATGGGTACGTCGAACCCCGGACACCGCCTAGACCCTTGACACATGGGCGTCGGCATATCACCTGTCAGGAATAAGACACACCAGGACTAACTGAACACGCAGTTGAGAAGCGCCCTTCAATCGAGGGTCTCGTCGACAATGTTGACCCCCGAGAGTCCCACGAGCTCGAAGAGCTGCCCACTTTCGAGAAGCCCGTAGCCGAGCCTACGCCAGTACCGCTCAAGGAGAAGCTGATAACGTGTTTTTGGATCGCTCTGAATACGCTGTCAACACTGGGCTTGATCTTCCTGAGCAAGCGGTATGCAACATGCAGTAGAGCTAGTGGGGGACCCGCTGACAGTCGGATAGAGTGTTCAGCGACAAGCAGCTCAAAGGATGCCAGCTCATGGTCGTCATGTGGCATTTCACAGCCACCGGTCTCGTCCTCTTCATCTCGACCCTCCGACCCTTTCATGCCTTCAAGGCCGTACGGCTGAATGTCTGGAACATGCTGCCCGTCTGCGGCTTCTTCGCCGGCTACGTTGTGCTTGGCAACCTTAGCTTGACCTTCAACTCGATCGGCTTCTACCAGCTTTCCAAGGTCATGACTACGCCGACCGTCGTCCTCATCAACTTCGTCCTCTTCCGAAAGCAGGTTACACGATACATGCTGGCTGCCATTCTCGCAACATGCATTGGCGTCTCCTTCACCATCAACGAGGCGGCCAAGACCCAGCTGTTCGGTGTCATCGTCGCGACCCTGGCATTCTGCAGTACCGCTCTGTACCAGATCTGGATCGGCAAGAAGATCGAAGACTTCGCCGTCTCGCCACCCCAACTCCTGCTCAACCAAGCGCCAATCTCCGTCTGCCTCCTCATCCCCTTCGTGCCCTTCTTCGACACCATCCCGAACCTATCAACCGTACCCACCGACATCCTCTGGAGCGTATGCGCCTCCGGCATCATGGCCTCGATGTACAACCTGAGTCAGTTCTTGATCATCGGTCGCACCAGCGCCCTCACATTCAACATTGTCAGCCATCTCAAGACCATCATGATCCTGAGTATAGGGTGGTACAGCGAGGGCAAGATATTGAGCGGAAGGGAATGGTTCGGTGTACTCCTCGCGCTTGGCGGTGGATGGGTGTACTCGCATCTTGCGCTCAAGGCGAAGAAGCAGGGCGGAAAGTGAGACGCGAAACGACATCATTGGAGTCACACACGCGCGTGCTTGGGGCAGACTTGATTACGTGGTACAACGAGCGTTTTGGGCGGATACGAGAGGTTCTCACTTCTTTGGCTACTTCCACGCTTTTTTCGCATTTCTGGATCGAGATTTCACGGCAGACGTGTTAGAATGGGGGAGTTGCAGCCTCCTTCATTGATCAAGACTTTTTTTACGCCTTTTCCCCCTCCCGCGAAAAAGAAAAACTTTACGACGACTAGATTGGCTGAACGGTTCGGAGACCACGGGCGCTTTCTTGAGACCTTTCTTTCTAGGGGCGGTTCGGCCGGGAGTTTGGAGACCCCATCTTTCTTGTGTGTATGCTTCTAGCATCTTTTTTTTCCCTTGCTTCTCTTTTTCCTTCTATATATTCGGGTCTCTCTGTGAATGTTATCGATCGACACGGCGCTATATACTCCAATGACATAATTTTGAAAGTTCAATATGCGGGTTTTCGTCGGCACGTGAGATGGGAGGGCTGTGAGGTGGTACCTAGTAGCCAGATTGACGGATGAAGACTAAGGGCAAATCGGGACGCCTTATCTGATTTCGGCGCAATACACGTATCGCAGGCGAGGTACTATCTCTATAGCAGACATGACAGCATCACATTGCGTTGTACATCACTACGCAGGTCCCCTTTCAGATTCCGCGGCAGACGGTACTACATCACAAGTTTACCAAGTTTCGCTCACGAGCCAGCGATCGATCGACAGGAATACACAGCCACAGCTCGCTATCTTAACTCTCTGCCTGACAGGTTGCTAGATGCAGATGCTAAACTCCATAATAATGTTCTTCGCTGCTTCCATGGAAGATTGAAGATTGGTCTAAACCCGATAAAGGACACCGAACTGCTGGTTTCGGGCCGACGTAGGCTTTGGGTCGTTGGATCACCGCGTTCGAGGGAAGATTTGAACAGCGACCGGGACAGGAGGATGGAAGTCGAAGCACCAGAAGCCTAAGCTCTAAGGTTGTGTTAAGATATTGCAGGCTTTCGTGCTGATACCTAGGTAGTAATGTATGATGCAGGCCATCTATTCCGTGTCTTCCAGGTAGCCAGCGTCCACGTGTGGGCTTGACGTCCCACGTGATCGGCAGAACGGGGGCACAGCCTCGCTTCTAGCGTCCTTCCATCCACCTACCGAACTACTGTAGACTCAGCCCTGCGAAGCTCATGCGGTAAACGATGTGCGCATTTGTGGCATTGCGAGACCTTGTGCGCAGTATGTGTGCGCTCGATTACTTCCTAATCTGTGTTGGTCGTTTTGTTGATCCAAAGGTGGGGGATGCCTTATCCGAGTAAACGAACACGACGAACTAGATTGGGTAGTGGTCGGACGCTGGACGCCTGGTTGCTGATGGGTTGGGGCTGGGGCGGTCACGTTTGTGGGATTAGTGGGTGATGCGACTGGATGTCTCGCTTGGTTAGGACGGAATTGGGGTAGGTGTTGTGACGGTTGTGGGTGCTGTTGTTGCTGTGTTCGGGGGGCCTGATGACAGTGCTGTGTACGGGTAAGGCAGATTTCGTGGCTGGTAGTGTGGTGAGGTGAGCATGATGAGTACCGTGGGTGGTATATAGGGTCGAGGGTTCCGTGGGAGGATAAGGGCATATCATCATCACGAACAAACTTTCGACACATCCACGCTATCTTCTCTAACAGAGAACCCATACGCATCTTCGTACTTCACTCATCTCAAACCCACATACCTTTGGATATCAACATCACCTAAGACCACGCTTGAAAAAGTCATACGAGCACGCAAAGCCTCCTACGCACCTACTCAACACACCAACACACCAACAACAAAAGCCAACACCTGCCAAAATGGGCTGCGGAATGTCCAAATCACCTTCTGAGTACCCGCCCCCGATGCGGCAAACAAAGGTCTCGAAGCGCAACAAGCGGCATTACGGTGGTGGTAGCGACACGGGAGGCGCATACGCATACACAGCAGGATACGGAGGCGGCGGTGGCTTCTTCAGCGGAGGAGATGGTGGAGGTTGCAGCGGTGGAGGTGGAGGAGGTGATGGAGGCGGCGGCGGTGGTGGTGGAGGTGGAGGATGTTAGAGGATTGAAGGGTATGGGGATGGGGATGTGAAGGGAAGGGATGTGGTAGTTTGGGGATTGGAGATTGGCGTTCTGGGTATACCATTTGAGGGTTTTGGGAGGGTGTGTATGCGGTTTCTATGGCTTGATAGACGATACATTTGAATCATGTGCCTTCCGAACATTCCAAGGTTCCTTCGATGTGCAATTTACGTATGCGATGCCCGAAGGACCAGACCGCAATCTGAGTCAAGGCGCACTCTAGTCATTCCGTAGGCGATGTTCATAGATCTGGATTTGTTTTCGTGAATCGCCTGCATTGTTCGAGAATCTTGGAGCGGATGCATATGGATGCAAGCTCTGCAACTTCCTGCTCCTGAAACGGAAGCCTAGAACCGGCTGATCTTTGCGGTAAGTATGTTGAGCTTTCGGCCCTTAGTTGTTCGAACCTGCCTAATTCTGTGCGGCTGAAGTATACTTTAGGACCTTGGAAGGATTGCCAAGTCAGCTGAGGCATTCGTATACGAATGCGACGTGCCTTAAAACACACAAGAGTTCTATCTTTCCCGACTTCTGTAAAATAGGTCGGTACTACTGCATCGATCAGGTGCTATCGCAGGCGACTCGATTCGTTAGCATCTTGGGTAAGTGACGATGACGTCAGACTGGTCTGAGCTCGTAGAGCGCATGGCAGACGCTTTTGCCCGAGGGGTAGAGGAATCTCGGGCTGCATCATCGCCGGCGCGTGCGGGTATGATCTCGGATCATCTCCAAGCTTCTCCTGATGAGCAATACCGCGTCGAATCCGACACAAACGACACAAAACAGCCTCCCACAAACGGAGGAGACCAGGAAACCCCATCATGCATCATATGCCACCATTTCGCCAACGGCGTGGAAACCAGCACGCCAACGGCAGACTTCCTTGTTTCTGCTGGCGAATGTCAGGGATGTTCAATCATCTTGCAGGCTCTTGATGCCGTCACCGATATTCGACGGCCGGAATTCACGACTATCGATATTAGGCGCAAAGAGGCGGTTGACCATTGGCACCTTTTTGACCCCCAGAATGTCTTAAATGTGGCCTGCAAGCAGGACGGTGAATCATATGGCGGTGGGGTGCTGTTTGGCCGGAAGTATGTTGATAACAGGCCGAATGATTACCAGATCTACACTCCGGTTGGTAAGTTCTTTACAGCTAGTCAGGCTTCTTTCTATCAGCCTAAGTCACCTTTAAAGGAATGAGGAATGAGGGAGTGTTTGAAAATGATGCTAACAGCCTAACAGATGCTGGAGAAGACTCTGCTATTCCATGGCTCGGTATACGCAATAGTGAAAACGACAAGTACCGAGAGCTATTAAGCAATCTCGAAGATCGTTTGAGTCAAGCGCGCAGCTGGTTCGAGCAATGCAAGGCTGATCATCCGTCGTGTGCGCCAGGAAAGGGTGAATGGCCACGTCGTGTCCTCGATCTCGCAACTAATCCTATTCGCCTTGTGGATAGCGCATCGATTGCATCAGCCTCAGCACAACAGCAGGAAGGTTATGCTTGTCTCAGTTACGCATGGGGTACGACCGGCTCCCTCAAGACGCTGAAAAGTAATCTCGAGACCCATATGCAAGGCATCAATATCTCGACACTCCCTCGCACCCTCGCCGATGCCATCCACGTGTGCAAAGCTTTTGGCTTGCGATACCTATGGGTAAAGCAACCAATACATGAACTGTATCTATCCCAGAAGCTGACCTCAGACAACAGATTGATGCGCTATGCATAGTACAAGATGATATACAAGACTGGACGGACCAAATTCCACGCATGAAGTCCATCTACCCAGGAGCCGAGCTGGTCATCTCGGCACAGAGTGCGTCCAGCGTCCAGGAAGGATTTCTGTCCCTCAGCCCTGCCGCGAATGCACCCCTCAAGCGTATTGAGGTACCCTTTCACATGCCAGACGGCACGTCTCGTACAGTTCAACTCTCCATTCGCGAGCGAGAGGAACAGTACTGGAGCAACCCAGCACATCATTCGTCGCGCCCCAATATAGAAGATGTCGACATCGACGAACTTCTCACCCCCCTCGCTACCCGCGCATGGGTGTTCCAAGAGAGCTTTCTAGCGCGCAGAATACTATATGCTACACCATCTGAACTAGCCTGGCAGTGTAGCCAGCACGAGAGATGCGAGTGTCGGAAGGAGGCAAATGAAAACGCCGTTCGATATATCGGCGAAGACGACCATTTCTTCAACGTGCGTACTCTTGGTCAACTACTCCGTGTAGAAGACTCCCGCGCGACCGACCAACCCAATTTCAACCATTCGAAACTATGGGCCGAGATTGTAAAGCGGTACTCGGAAAAAAGACTGACCAAATGGACTGATCGCTTAGCCGCAATACAAGGCGTAGTGGGAGCGTTGCAGCAAGCCATGCCTGACAAGTTCCCGGAGGAAGATTACCTCTTCGGGCTCTGGAAATTGCAGCTAGAAAAGTGGCTGTTGTGGCTCCGTCCCCATCGGAAGCAGCCTGGCGACTCAGAGGCAGTTGCTACACTGAGGAAGATGGCGCCATCTTGGTCCTGGACGACGACTATAGGAAACATCATGTACTATGAGTTTATCTTTGATCCGGAAGTCGTAACTTACACACGAGTCGTGAACTGGAAGCACAAGGAGCCTGATAGCTCTGAGACAGAGGTATTTGGAGCGGGCAAGTGTGAGTTGACGCTCCTTGGCTTTTGCCTCCCGGTCCGGTCACCGTTATCAGGTCACGAAGATGAAATGGAGTTGGGCTCGTATAACCCTTTCCTCATCCCCGAACGCTATGCATCCTCTGATGCCATCGGCCCCGCAGTCATCGACATGATACCAGACGACCCGACAGACACGACCGTGTTGTCCCGCGTCACACATTTCGC